AAAACGACAGTGTTACCCCTTACGTTTTTTTTTGGGGGCGAAAAATTAAGTATCCCCAATCTTCTCAAAACTCTGGATTCTGATAGAGGGCCATGAGACTTAGACCTGAGTGCAACAATGGAGGCTCTAGACCCTTCCAGAGCTGAGATATCGAATTCAAATTTTGACCAAAAAAAAAACGACAGTGTTACCCCTTACGTTTTTTTTTTTGGCGAAAAATTAAGTATCCCAATCTTCTCAAAACTCTGGATTCTGATAGAGGGCCATGAGACTTAGACCTGAGTGCAACAATGGAGGCTCTAGACCCTTCCAGAGCTGAGATATCGAAACTCAAAAATTTCGCACAGAAAAAAACGACAGTGTTACCCCTTACGTTTTTTTTTGGGGGGCGAAAAATTAAGTCCCAATCTTCTCAAAACTCTGGATTCTGATAGAGGGCCATGAGACTTAGACCTGAGTGCAACAATGGAGGCTCTAGACCCTTCCAGTTCTAGAGTCTCATGCCCTTATTTTTTTTTTTGGGCGAAAAATTAAGTATCCCCAATCTTCTCAAAACTCTGGATTCTGATAGAGGGCCATGAGACTTAGACCTGAGTGCAACAATGGAGGCTCTAGACCCTTCCAGAGCTGAGATATCGAAATTCAAAATTTCGACCAGAAAAAAAAACGACAGTGTTACCCCTTACGTTTTTTTTTGGGGGGCGAAAAATTAAGTATCCCCAATCTTCTCAAAACTCTGGATTCTGATAGAGGGCCATGAGACTTAGACCTGAGTGCAACAATGGAGGCTCTAGACCCTTCCAGAGCTGAGATATCGAAATCAAAAATTTTGACCAGAAAAAAAAACGACAGTGTTACCCCTTACGTTTTTTTTTTTGGGCGAAAAATTAAGTATCCCCAATCTTCTCAAAACTCTGGATTCTGATAGAGGGCCATGAGACTTAGACCTGAGTGCAAAAATGGAGGCTCTAGACCCTTCCAGAGCTGAGATATCGAAATTCAAAATTTTGACCAAAAAAAAAACGACAGTGTTACCCTTACGTTTTTTTTTGGGGCGAAAAATTAAGTATCCCAATCTTCTCAAAACTCTGGATTCTGATAGAGGGCCATGAGACTTAGACCTGAGTGCAACAATGGAGGCTCTAGACCCTTCCAGAGCTGAGATATCGAAACTCAAAATTTCGACCGAAAAAAAAACGACAGTGTTACCCCTTACGTTTTTTTTTGGGCGAAAAATTAAGTATCCCAATCTTCTCAAAACTCTGGATTCTGATAGAGGGCCATGAGACTTAGACCTGAGTGCAACAATGGAGGCTCTAGACCCTTCCAGAGCTGAGATATCGAAACTCAAAATTTCGACCGAAAAAAAAAAACGACAGTGTTACCCCTTACGTTTTTTTTTGGGCGAAAAATTAAGTATCCCCAATCTTCTCAAAACTCTGGATTCTGATAGAGGGCCATGAGACTTAGACCTGAGTGCAACATGGAGGCTCTAGACCCTTCCAGAGCTGAGATATCGAATTCAAAATTTCGACCCGAAAAAAAAACGACAGTGTTACCCCTTACGTTTTTTTTTGGGCGAAAAATTAAGTATCCCCAATCTTTCAAAACTCTGGATTCTGATAGAGGGCCATGAGACTTAGACCTGAGTGCAACAATGGAGGCTCTAGACCCCTCCAGAGCTGAGATATCGAAACTCAAAATTTCGACCGAAAAAAAAACGACAGTGTTACCCCTTACGTTTTTTTTTTGGGCGAAAAATTAAGTATCCCCAATCTTCTCAAACTCTGGATTCTGATAGAGGGCCATGAGACTTAGACCTGAGTGCAACAATGGAGGCTCTAGACCCTTCCAGAGCTGAGATATCGAAATTCAAAATTTCGACCCGAAAAAAAAACGACAGTGTTACCCCTTACGTTTTTTTTTGGGCGAAAAATTAAGTATTCCCAATCTTCTCAAAACTCTGGATTCTGATAGAGGGCCATGAGACTTAGACCTGAGTGCAACAATGGAGGCTCTAGACCCTTCCAGAGCTGAGATATCGAAATCAAAATTTTGACCCAGAAAAAAAAACGACAGTGTTACCCCTTACGTTTTTTTTTGGGCGAAAAATTAAGTATCCCCAATCTTCTCAAAACTCTGGATTCTGATAGAGGGCCATGAGACTTAGACCTGAGTGCAACAATGGAGGCTCTAGACCCTTCCAGAGCTGAGATATCGAAATTCAAAATTTTGACCAAAAAAAAAAGACAGTGTTACCCCTTACGTTTTTTTTTTGGGCGAAAAATTAAGTATCCCCAATCTTCTCAAAACTCTGGATTCTGATAGAGGGCCATGAGACTTAGACCTGAGTGCAACAATGGAGGCTCTAGACCCTTCCAGAGCTGAGATATCGAAATTCAAAATTTTGACCAGAAAAAAAAACGACAGTGTTACCCCTTACGTTTTTTTTTTTTTTGGCGAAAAATTAAGTATCCCCAATCTTTTCAAAACTCTGGATTCTGATAGAGGGCCATGAGACTTAGACCTGAGTGCAACAATGGAGGCTCTAGACCCTTCCAGAGCTGAGATATCGAAATTCAAAATTTCGACCAGAAAAAAAACGACAGTGTTACCCTTACGTTTTTTTTTTTTGGGGCGAAAAATTAAGTATCCCCAATCTTCTCAAAACTCTGGATTCTGATAGAGGGCCATGAGACTTAGACCTGAGTGCAAAAATGGAGGCTCTAGACCCTTCCAGAGCTGAGATATCGAAACTCAAAATTTCGACCCAAAAAAAAAAACGACAGTGTTACCCCTTACGTTTTTTTTTTTGGCGAAAAATTAAGTATCCCAATCTTCTCAAAACTCTGGATTCTGATAGAGGGCCATGAGACTTAGACCTGAGTGCAAAAATGGAGGCTCTAGACCCTTCCAGAGCTGAGATATCGAAATTCAAAATTTTGACCAGAAAAAAAAACGACAGTGTTACCCTTACGTTTTTTTTTTTTTGGGGGGCGAAAAATTAAGTATCCCCAATCTTCTCAAACTCTGGATTCTGATAGAGGGCCATGAGACTTAGACCTGAGTGCAACAATGGAGGCTCTAGACCTTCCAGAGCTGAGATATCGAAACTCAAAATTTTGACCAAAAAAAAACGACAGTGTTACCCCTTACGTTTTTTTTTGGGAGGCGAAAAATTAAGTATCCCCAATCTTCTCAAAACTCTGGATTCTGATAGAGGCCATGAGACTTAGACCTGAGTGCAACAATGGAGGCTCTAGACCCTTCCAGTTCTAAGTCTCATGGCCCTGAGTTTTTTTTTTGGGCGAAAAATTAAGTATCCCCAATCTTCTCATAAACTCTGGATTCTGATAGAGGGCCATGAGACTTAGACCTGAGTGCAACAATGGAGGCTCTAGACCCTTCCAGAGCTGAGATATCGAAATTCAAAATTTCGACCAGAAAAAAAAACGACAGTGTTACCCCTTACGTTTTTTTTTGGGGGGCAAAAAATTAAGTATCCCAATCTTCTCAAACTCTGGATTCTGATAGAGGGCCATGAGACTTAGACCTGAGTGCAAACAATGGGGCTCTAGACCCTTCCAGAGCTGAGATATCAAATTCAAAATTTTGACCAGAAAAAAAACGACAGTGTTACCCCTTACGTTTTTTTTTTGGGCAAAAATTAAGTATCCCAATCTTCTCAAAACTCTGGATTCTGATAGAGGGGCATGAGACTTAGACCTGAGTGCAACAATGGAGGCTCTATACCCTTCCAGAGCTGAGATATCGAAACTCAAAATTTCGACCCGAAAAAAAAACGACAGTGTTACCCCTTACGTTTTTTTTTTTGAGCGAAAAATTAAGTATCCCCAATCTTCTCAAAACTCTGGATTCTGATAGAGGGCCATGAGACTTAGACCTGAGTGCAACAATGGGGGCTCTAGACCCTTCCAGAGCTGAGATATCGAAATTCAAAATTTTGACCAGAAAAAAAAAACGACAGTGTTACCCCTTACGGTTTTTTTTTTGGGCGAAAAATTAAGTATCCCCAATCTTCCCAAAACTCTGGATTCTGATAGAGGGCCATGAGACTTAGACCTGAGTGCAACAATGATATTGTTTATTAATATGGGCTTTTGGACTAACTAGTGTAATTCACTTTACAGTGCACAAGATCAGTAATGCAAACTACAAAAAAATACTTTACTGTATTTTTACTGTATTTCATAATTTGTTCTGCTTCTGCTGTAATCAATTATACTGCATTGTTCTGTAATATCAACATTGATACATTACTGCTAAATATAATTTGTAATTTTTAAAATAGTTACTAATAATGATAATATTATATTATAATAATATCATATAATTATTTGGAAAATATATAGGAAAACAAAATACTATGTAAGTCAATGCGGCTACTGTCAGCTGTTTTGTTACCGACATTCTTTAAAATATCTTATTTTGTGTTCAGCAGAATAAAAATGGTATGAAACTCATACAGGTTTGGAACAACATGAGGGTGAGTAAGTGATGACAAATATAATTTGTGGGTGAACTATACCTTTAAAGGCATAGTTCATACAGATGCATAGTGCATAGATGCATCTATCCATAAAAAATATATATTAATATAAAATATTTAAAATATTCATATTTAAGTTGCGCTTTAGATTTAAGTCAAATCCATATGTTCTTTTGGCCGGAAGTTATTTTACTTCATAAAGTTTTACTTCATAAAATATGGATATTTTTCTTACATCTCCATCTTCCTCATTACTCCACATAAAGTCAACATCTGAAATATTTTCATCAGCTATATGTTCAAGCACTTCAGAACTGTATATTCTGTATATTAAAAAGTTTCAAAAATGTATCGGTACTGTGATATATATTTTTTTTATAAAAGAAATTTCAAACAGCATTACTGAAAATGTGACCAGTAACAGGCTTTCAAACCTACTGTTCATTCTAATGGAGACAAATTAAAAAAAATCCTGATTTAAAACGTGCAATTTTACAGTCGATTTTTAACTTTAATTAATAAGTTCAATCTTTCTATTTTACATACAAACTATGAAATACTGGCAAAAATATATACAAAATGTAAATACACCTTAGAAAATGTTGCTTGCTTCTGTGTTTGGAGTGAAGTGCTGCCATGCTTCTCTTCAATGTAGAGCTTTACTGGCATTTGATTGGATGACAAACATCTAATCTCATGGACTGCAGGCTTTAAACTACCAGAAGTTGTCCATTATGTGTACAAATGTGACATAACGACGCATAGACATGCTCGAATCTCCCGTGGAAATCCACCAGTACCACTGGAGTTAAAAACATTATTACAGTCTTACCGCTATGAATCGAGCTAAGGCAAGCAGATAGTTTTGAACACTGGCTGGTTATGTATTTTCTCAAATATGTATTTTGCATAATAATTAACCCCCAAAAGCTATGGACTGCAGCTTTAAATTATTTTAGCTTCATTTCAAATTAACTTTTTTTGTAATTTTTTAGTTACCAATAAAAAACGCTGCAGGTTATAGGAAAGTTTAATGAGCAAAATACTTTACAAAAAAAAAACATTTATATCCATAGTCTATATTTAATAAAGTAATAAACAGCGGAGTACCGAGATACTCATATCCCACAAACCATCCCCAAACAAATCCTGAGATATCTACAAATCGATAATTTTGGTCCAACAAAACATTTTTGTCCAACTCAACAGAAATATCCAGTTTCTAAAAAATTAAACCTAGCCTCTGATTCACTGTGCTTTGATCCTTGTAGTGGTGTCTGAACATGTCAGCAATGAAATATATAGTCTGATGAAGGCATATGTCACTCCCAGTGCACAGTAAACTGAGGTGAACATCAGAGGGAGGAAGGGGAACGTCTTCTGCCAGACTGTCAGCGGGTAAACAAACTCACAGATGAGCTCCAGGGGAATCAGGCCCAAGAGATACATGACTTCCAGCGGGTTCAACAAAGACCCGCCCTTCCTGAAAAATTGCATAAAGAATGAATTACATACCAATCGTCTAATTAAACATCAAGTCCAATAATCCCATTTTAAATACTGACCTGAACAGCGTTTTTAGGGAAGTGAAACTGAAGATTGTAAACAGCAACATTATGAATATTTTAACCGGCAACTCTGGAATTAAGAATGGAAATGTTTAAGAATTACAATCAGTGATGATGCAAAATGCTTTTTGTATATGAGAGCTATATTCCTGAATGTGACATACCTTGGGTTGTGAAGAGAAGTGGAAATAAGGAATAGTGACCAGTTGTACTGAGGATAAGAAAAATCCTGGCATCTTCTCTACTCTCCACAGCGAGCAAACTGAAAAACAAGAAACCGTTTTTGAGAGTAGGCGGCTGGCAGGACATGCTTATGTAAGGATACCATCATCTGAGGATCACCTTAAAGGAAGTATGACCATCAAAATGGCTTTCTCATGTACATGCCAACCAAACATAAAGGATCCAAGAGCACAAATGACAAGGCATCGCAAGAATCCTCTCGCTCCATCAGGTCTGTGCCATATCTTGAGAAGAGCAGGCTGCAAGGAACAAAGATACAAAAATGGTATGCACTATAGTTTCTGTCAATATTCAGAGTAACAATGGAAATCAAAAAGAACTCACCAACACTGACAGTAACGTACAAGCAAGGGTTGCTAAAGGAGAAACTGAAGGAAGCACAGAGTGCTGAAACTCTTGAACCAGACCACCAGTCATTGAAGCCTTGGGAAGTGTGTTCATGTCAAGCAGTTTCAACTTCACACCTGAATAAGTGAATCAGTAACAATCAGTGTAAAAAAGGGATTAAAAAAAAACACTCATAATATACCTATAAAACATACAATCCAATTTGACCCTTCGCTAAGCCACACCCAAAAACCACCACTGGCCAATCGTGGCTTAGCAACCGTAACTAGGCGCGGGAGGTCTGGCAAGCATGCCGAAGCATTGTGTATGGATTGTGCAAATCTGATACCGGGTATCCTAAAAGTTTAGAAGGGGGAGTGGATTTTTTTTTCCTTCCCGAAAATCTAAAAGCCAAGGGGAGAAATGATGGCGTGATCAAGCAGTGGGAGACCCATTCACAACTAAATGTCGACAGGATTAACAAAAACACCTATTGCTTGGAAATAATGACGGTTCTTTGGTCATAATGCATATATTTTAACGTAAAATAAGACGGCCTACTACCCCTGACTAAGTAACTTTAACCCGATCCGATTGCGGCTCTCCCGATGTTAATGTTATTCCACAAGATTTATGGATAAGCTGTTTGATTTACAATTATTAGGATCATTTCACATACCCTGCTGGGCACAAGCATAGCTGTTCCTCAATTTGTGTGTTTACCATTTGAATGGTCAGCATATGAGGCGACTGCTGCTTGCACTGGGACTATAGGCTTTAGCTTCAATTTTTAAGACATTATTCTCTAATCGGTTGCATATTATGTCGTGAATATATCCCTCAAATGGAATACTGCAGTCCCTTTTGTCTTGCTCTCTCAGATATTTCACATTTTCACCAAAAATTACTAATTATCTCATTGGGAATGTTTGACACCGTTGCATACGCTGTAATAGATGTGCCAGCCGCGAAAGTTTGACAGGCTAGCAAGAGTAACTAGGTAGGATGGGGCTTAGTGAAGGGTCAATTAATCTATCAATTTTATCCACAGTAATACAACACTATCATTGAAGTTACTGAACACACCCAGAATGGAAAAAGCTTTATCTGCTATATTGTAAAGCGCCCAGATGTTTGGTGCCCAGTACGCATGACACAGACCACGTTTGAAGGGGAAGAGTCGTGACAGGACTTGTGGAAGCTGGCCCTATTAAAGACCAATACAATTTAGTAGTGAACCTCTAATATTTTTTTTTTTTAAAGAAATTAATACTTTGATTCAGCCATTTCAAATAAATGCTGTACATTTGAACTTTCTATTCATCAAAGTATATATTTTTTAATGTTAGATATAACGGTTACAAACCAGTGCTATAAAGGGTCCAAAAGACACTGCAAAAGTAGTCAAGACAATGGTTCCTAGTGCTACCAGTCGCAAGAGACTGAATCCTCTCCACTGCAAAGACCCATCTGAAAAATATACAGTACCGGTCAAAAGTTTGGAAACATTGCTATTTTTAAGGTTTTTGAAAGAAGTCTCTTATGTCCATCAAGCCTGCATTTATTTGATCAACAATTCAGAAAAAACTGTAATATTGTGAAACATTATTGCAATTTAAAATAATGGCTTTCCATTTAAATATACTTTAAAATATAATTTATTTCTCTGTTGCAAAGCTGAATTTTCATCAGCCATTATGGTCATTACGATCCTTCAGAAATCAATATAATATGATGATTTGAAACTCATTTATCATCATGTGAAACAGCACAACTGCTTCCAACATTGATAATAAATCAGCATATTAGAATGATATCTGAAGACTGGACTGATCACAGAAATAAATTATATTTTAAAGTAATAATATTTCACAATGTAACTGTTTCTGTTTATTTTTGATCAAATAATTTGTCATTTTTTATATATTTTTTTTCCCATATTCTGACAAAGACCATAAATTACCTGCATTGTTCTGGGTGAAACAAAAACATCTCAGCAGGAAGATACCATATGCAGGAGCAATGTATAGATATATATGCTTCAAGTTTAGAAGTATTGAAAACAGCAAAGCCCCCTCTAAGTGTCTATTCTGTAAACACAGAAAATCATAAAGACATTCTGAGTCAAAACAAAGTCCAAGTCAAATTCAAACAAAACATGTACTAGTTATGTCTTAAAATTCTCGAATTAGCACACAGAAATTATAACCAATACCTGGAAATGTCTTGCTATTGATAGAAGTAGAACTCCAAACAGGAAGCCATTATACTGAAAATGAATATCTGCAGGAATTTAGTCAAGTGAAATTAATTTCAGGTTAGGGAAATGACATGCCTAAGCCACAGCAGGGCATGCATGACTTGGTTTATTTATTTGCAAGATCTCCAAGGATACGGTCAACAATTAGAAGGCCAAAGTTCCACAGTACTAACACTGTCAGAATGAAAGATGGCTTTCCCAGAAGGTCCTTTCCTTTGTCTTCTCGCAAACATTTGCAGCATCTAGAAAAGGACAATGCACCTCATCCCAGATTCAACATTAATATGGTCTTTCTGTAAATGCATCTTCAAAGAATAAAAAGACAAGGGTACAAAAACTAGGCTACTTGTTTTGATAAAATTGTGCAAAGATAAGTAACGCCATTTTTTTTTTTAAATAAGTATCATGTAGATGCTACATACTCTTTAACTGCATAAATCAAGACCACATCAGTTGTAATGACTGACAGCCTTTGGAACAGGACTGTGGCTGGACTTGCATAATTCAGATTCTGAACAACCAGCATCTCCTTATCAAAAAATCGGGCAACATGAGAAAGTCCATATTCAAACCAAGCAAACAGGGGAGGATAATCCAATGTCCATTCAGATGTTGCCTGAAAATATATAAAAAATAAACCACAAAATTAAAAACCGTGTGTATGTGTTACATCATTTTACGAAAGCTGTATGTAATTCATATGACTACCTCATAATACCACTGTGATATTGGCAGACTGTGAGTCAGGGCAAGCCAGTTCCTATGTACTTCAAAGTCCGTAGAGTGGCTGAAATATAACGATTTTTAATTAAAATGTTACATTACTCGACAATATCTGAAGCAACGAAATAATTTCCACTTCGTTAAATGAGGACAGGATGAATGAATCTCAAATATTTTCTAGCTCGTTCGACATTTCAAGGAGTTTTAGCTTTTAATGTGGTGATCACATGAGAGGAAAAGTATAACGTTAATGTGCGGAAAAGTTCACTTACTAGGCATTTATCAAAAGACATTTGACAAATGAAACACAGAGAGCCAAAGCAAAAAAACAGCTTTGATCGTTAGGCATGGGCGCAGCCATGACAGTTTCCTTAACAAAAAAAAAACTTTATTTACAAATGGCGTGGCACAAAGTTGCTGACATTAAAGTCTGATTAAAATTATCCAGCAGGGGGCCCGTGACGGTTTAGAAAGCCCAATGTTCCTTTGAGACAAATTTACATATCAGGACGTTTTTGGTACCTCGGCGGAGATTTTTACGCTCAAAATGATAATCTTGTTAATCTGAAAATTCGAAAGATGGTCGTTAAGAAAATCAGCCTCAGAAATCTATTCAAATCCAGCACCAGCACACTCTTAAAGGGATAGTTCACCCAAAAATTAAAAAAAAAAAAAAAAATAAAAAAAAAAAAAAAGACATAATTTACTCACCCTCATTTAGTCCAATTCTCAAGCTCTGGTCCAGTTATTTCAAGCCAAAATGGGGGTCAAAAAAGAACAAATTGCAACAGGACATATGAGGATACAAAATCAGTTGAGTTTCGAAAAAGACCCAAATATAGATCAGACTGAGATTCAAGTACCTATTTTCAACTGACTATACCATGTTTAGATCTGTTTGTGGTACATACGTAATTAGATTATGCACCGTTTGCCCATGTTAACAATTTTAAAAACGTGTAATGTTTTGTTTGTCTTGATGTAAGTCATGGATGTAAGTAATCAACTCAGTTAAATGATGATATAAAGATTAGAATTTCTATTCACGTGAGAAAAAGATCGAATAGGCGAATGAATAGGTATTTTTCAAAACTTTCCACGATTCTTCTGGGCTTTCCCCCCTTACTCAATTACATTGAGGATACAAAATCAGTTGAGTTTGCTTCTGTTGCATTTGTTCTTCCCTTTTTCATAAACCGAGAACACGTGTCCATTATTGTTATTTTTCTATTCCTACGACGGAAGGTGCTACTGTCAACTGTTTGATAACCAACATTCATTAAAATATCTCTTTTGTGTTCAATATAAGACATAAACTCATACAGGTTTGGAAACAACATCAGTAAATGATCACAAAGTTTACATTTTTGGGTGAACTTCTCTTTAACAGCGCTGAGAAGTCTTTAACGTAGCGGTCTGGTGGATAATAATTTATCATGTTAATTATCACAACGATAAACTTTAATAGCGGCTTATTTAAAATATACAGTGAATAATAGTTATAATTATAAGATGGAAAATCTTTTTTTAAATTTTTTTTTTATTCAACAATTGCACAGCAAGAACATTCCTCTCCATTATAAAAGAAAATACATTGTGCAGTTTCCAATATTGCAGGTATAACATAAAACGTAAAGAGCATAACAGAAAACATAACAGATTACATCACATTTAGCCAGGGGTAGTACAGATTTACAAAAAAATATGAAATTGTTTACACACATTCACAGTTTTTATTGCCTTTTGATTAAGAGAAAGCTTAATAGTGTTGACATATTGCTTGACCTCATTATTAAAAGCAATAAAAGATAGTATGGAATGTGTAGATGGAAAATATTATTTAGACCCGCCGTCGCGCTTTTTGAGACAACATCCGGTCCGCTATGCGTCGTTTCATGCTAAAAACTAAACTGCCTAGTTGCTTTTACTCCACCAGTAACGTTACGACTTCAGAAACTCCACCTTCTTCACAATCGAACGTCATAGACTGAACCAAACCCATAGACCAAACCAGAAAAACACATAGTAAACGAAGAGATCTGTTTCTTTTTTTTAATCGACTTGTTCTGCCCGGAATGCAAGAGGAAGGACAGACAGATTCGTCTTTGCCATTGTTGAGACATTTTTAAAAAGTATAGGAGATAAAAGCGCATTACAATTCCATTCACACAACAATCCTATATTTATTTAGTTTAGCCATATACCTTTTTATACAACGATGTCATGTTGGGGAATATTTATGCGGAGACAATACCAGTTCTCCTCGCTGTTAAAAATGCATCAACTCAACATTCAACCTATGTGTCATCACCATCGGAGAGGTTAGTGTGACCTACTGACACGGTGCAGTAGTAAAGTAAGATACTGTTTACCAAATCAAGGATTCACAGACGTATTTTTTCCTTTCAGGATTGCATAAAACTACTGCTTTCAAAACATATGATGTGAGAAAAGTGGAGTTAATGCCACTGGAGCAGAGGAAACTCACGTTTGATTCCCATGCGCTCGTGAAAGAGCTGGAATCCAGCGGTATGTAGCCTCTGTTCTACTTGCCGACGTTGTACCAAGGTTCTCATATGGCTTGTCTCAGTTGTGGCAAGCCATTTAAACATTTATTTCGTAAAATCTAACTACTATCTATTTTTCTCTGTTGTATTAATTTTCATCTAATTTTTAAATTCTTGATTTTTTTTATTTAAGCATTTAGATGTATGCATGTAAGATTAAAATAGATATTTGAAATTAAAACTATTTATTTACATTTACTAAATTTTACGATATATCGGCCACTATATCGGTATCAGCTGATATGTTCTTTTTTAATATTATCGTTATCAGCCCGATAAGAAAATTGGCTGATATATTAAAGCCAATATATAATGGATTATTTCCTTCAGCTGAGACACTTCAAATGCACACTGTTCGTCATGATGGTTTAGAATTGTTTGAAATATGATTGGATTCACTTCAAAAAAGAAAAATAATGTTCAGTGCAACATGTGCTGCATAAGTCTGTCATCTACAATTTTATAATGAGAACATTAATTGTGTACTTGGGACATGGCTTTTAATGGTGAGACTTGTTTTTGTAATCATGCTCTCAAAAATTATATACAAATTTGGATTTAGATTTATCGGCCAATATATATCGGTTATCGGCTTTCAGATATAAAGAATTATAGGTAAACGGTATTGGACAAAATGTTCAAATCGGAGCATCCCTAGCTTGTAGATCTTGAAAAATTGGGCAGTTTTGTTAGATAATTGTTCAAATATGCTTTATTTTACATTCTACCCTGCATATGTAATCCAGGCTTTGAGAAGAGGCAAGCAGAAGTGATTGTCTCAGCATTGGTGACACTTACTACAGCCAATATGGACATTGTATACAGAGACATGGTCACTGGAGCCCATCAGGTAAATGAATAACAAAACTGCTATCAGCAAAAATAAATTTTAATGAACCTCAACGAATGATATGGTTTCTTCATTTTCATTAGGAAATAGCTCTACAACAAATCATGGCTCATCTAGACGCTATCAGGAAAGACATGGTTATCCTAGAGAAGAGTGAATTTGCCAACTTGCGTTCAGAAAATGCAGTAAGAATAAAGTTTAAACCTGAATTTCGTTCTTTTGTTTTTGGCTCTGTAATCAGAATAAAAACAAAATTAAGGACAAAACCTGTTGAAGTTTAACTTGGTTCTTTACCTTCTCTAAAATTTCACTTTAGAAAATGAAAACAGAGCTGGAGCAAATACAGAATAGACTACTGGTAGGTAAAATGTGTGAATTTCAATAACCATTCTGCACAATACATTTCTGTTTCTGTTTAATGTAAGCTTTATTTATTTATTTTTTTATGTTTACATTGAAGGAAGAAAGTCAAAAAATCAGAGCAGATGCAAAGTTAGACATTAATCTGGAGCGAAGTAGAGTTACAGACATGGTATGCATATGTTTAACTTTTTAACACTTTGTATTAATTAAAAAAAAAAAAATCACAGTATTTTTTTTATTCCAGTTTACAGAACAAGAGAAGAAACTTATGGAGGTTAGAACAGAGTTCCAAAAAAAGGTAAGGTTTAAAAAATGGTTGTGATCATACAGCATGTTTTCACAGCAACAACAGTCATTTAAACTAAGATTTACAGGAAGAATTTTCTATTCAGTGTAACTACTTTAAGTGTTTATTGCAATTATTCTTATCCAAATTGATACACATATTATTACAAAGTCAATTTTTAATCTCAACTTTACAGAATGCAGATATAGAGAGTGAAGCTGTGGAAACTTCAAAGAAAATAGATATACAAGTAGCCTCATTGAAAACCCTCCTGGAATCCCTCAAGCTAGAGACTATTAGATATCTTGCAGGTACGTACTGATGATTGTTTTCAAACAGATGACAGCTATATTTGACTGATGTGTGATTTGTTTGCAAGTCCTTCAGATAAGACACAAGTGCTTTGTTAGTGGCTTAGTTGTTGATGTAATTTAAATATCTTTTTATAAGAACATAATCTAAACTGTAAATTGAATTGTGTTTTTTTTTTTTTATCATTGTTGTTATTTTTTACAGCATGCATCTTCACCTGCTTGGCAATTGCCTTGGGATTCTATCGCTTCTGGAAATGAACCTCACAAAACTGGGAGAGATTTAATGGCCAGAGTTTTATCTAAAAGGTTTTTCGATTTTTTTTTTTTACTCATGTGTATTCATTGTATTATATTTTTCGTGTGCGAATCATAAATCTGTTTTTTTTTTTAGACCAGAATTTAGATTATATGGCATGGTTGGCCAAATCAAAATTAATTATAGGCCAACTTTGGCCCACATGTCCTGGTTTGGGCATTTCCGCTTCAGACCAAAGTGCATTCATGCCAAGTTGGGATTTCGAGATTCCGATTTGCAAAAAGCGCTCACATCCATCCACTTAGAAATTGCATTTCCATCTTGTAAACTCAGGAGAGTTCTGATCCATCTCAACAGCTCAGAATAGAATGTTTAATTATAGTAATTATGACATGGTGTGAACACAGCACAATCATAGAAATTCCAACAATTGTCTTTTTTTTTTATATTGCCAAGAAATGCTCAAGATTTTGACAATACATTTGCATGAACAGGCAAATATTATCTATGTAAAAAGATTTGCCACCTTTTTTACATTGTAGAAAATGTATTTAAAGTTACCATGAAATTCTTATTTTTATGGAATGTTAAGGGTTATTAAAACTGAATCTGATATATTGGAGTCTCCATTTCACTTCATATCTTGAAGCATAAGATATTGTATTTTCTACATTAGGATACAATTTTTCTCAATGGTAATAAATGAATTCAAACATTTTTGTTTAGTAATAACAATTAAAGCAATGATTAGGCTAAAATAACCACATAAGCTTGACTTTATTTTTTTGTTAGCACATTATTCATTTATCAACAACAATGTCCATTTTGAGGGTCCAAGACCAACAGACCAATATCACACTGGTTCTGGATATTAGACCTGGATCAGATTACTGTAACTTATTTTTGAAGAGAAGTAATGTGGAAATATGAACAGCGTTTATTATGTTGGTTGAGCAAAATTTTACTTTCTATTCAAGTAAAATACATTTTGTTGAAGGGTTTCTTTTAACATGAGTGCTAAACTAAATAGTTTTAATATAGTCATCAATTTAATTGGATGCATAATATATATATATAAATATAAATAAATAAAATAAAAAAAATCACACAATTTTGTAATATTCAGGACAGAATAACTGAACAGAGAATGTTCCATTAGCACTGAAACTTTATTTAGGATTATGCATAAAATGACAACTTTAAATCAGTCAAAAACACACACAATAATCACTTTTCACACGACACTATTTCTTCTTTAGATTTTTATTGAATATTCCGCATAAAGCAAAATTGTTCTTTGAAACCTCTGCAAAAGGATAGAAAGAAAAAAAACACCCTGATTTTTTATTTTTTTTTTTCATTTTGAATTAAACACATTACTCTGAACCAAATGCAGTAGTAAACTCTGAAATAACTATTTACATATTGAGGACAAAGAAATTCTCATAATATTTATAATTTACAATCTGCCCCACACCTAGATTTAGGGGATTATCAATTACTGAAAGGGGGTTTTCTTGTTTTGTTTTGTTTTTTGGAAAAAAAGAAAAAAAGTCTTTCATAAGTTAGTATTCAACCACTGTTCACCATTCTCAAAGTTAGAACAAATGTCTCATAGAGAACCCCAAAATTTCTAACTTTTTTATCAATACTACACAAAGAATACCAAAAATATCTTTATTTATAAATTAAATTATACATATACATTTACCCACAAATGTACATATTTTGCAGTACATTTCATTGGGAATTCACATGGCAAAAAATACCTGAATTGTGCAGGCAAATACAAATACAAAAATGTATTTAAAGTGACTAGCTGAGGTCCCTGCCCCAGAGCACTGCAATATAAAAATATCCTTCTTTACAAAAACACAAAAGACCAGCTAAAGTAACCACAAAAAAGTGGCTAAAGAGCAGCAGAGTTAGAAAATAATTGCACTGGTTTGTGATTCGCCTTCTAACTTAACCTGAACCTCTTCTTTTACCATTGGTTCATCCGTATCATCCTCGGGGGGCTCTTCTTTAATACTGGAACAAGACACCTCATCACCCTGCTCTTGTTTCAGGAACGCTGTTAAAGGGTTTTCTGTAAGCATTTTATTGGGTGAGGGTGTGCAGTCCACAAAGGAGGATGTCTACAAAAAAAGGGAAGTGTTTCAATTGCCTACATAGACATTATGATGGAATTATTTTATACAAATGAAATAAAGCTTTACACAAAAGCAGAATCCAAAATACAGCATGTTTCAGCCAGAGGACTTCAATGTGTAGGTGTGATGCATGTTAAGATTAAGGCATCTCCATATGCAGTGCAAACCAGATAAACTACAAATCAAAACTTACGTTTTTGTAGTCTTCGTAACATGAGGGATGATATGTCTAAAAGAAGGGGGGAAAACAATAGTTTATCAAACATCAAAGCCACTGCTATTAAAGGTGCAGTGTGTGATTTTTCAAAATAGTTGTTAAAGACTTGATATTTGAAATAAACCAAAACAAACACCCCTCCCTTCATTGCTCCGAACATACAATGTAAGAGTGTCTCTTATAGCAGAAGCAAAGCAAAATGAAGCGAAGATGAAGAACAAACGACAAGCACAAAAAAAGGAAAAAGTTCACAAAATATACACAAGCAAGGTTTGTTAGTCGCCAGCAGCACACACTCTACACCAATGTTACTCACATTGGGAGCAGAAACACCACAACCTCTGCTTCCAGTTTCAGGTCTTCCCACTTAAGTCTCTCCAATGCTGGAAAGCTTATCTAATATTAGCATGGGTCCCAGAGATCTTGCCTGATCATAACCCTTCTTTTTCCAACGATATTCCTCTGAGCTTTATATTTTGGTATTGTCTCTCTAAGCCATCTCTTTTTCAACAGTCTTTATTCAAATTTCCCTCTTGCTTACCCTCTCTCCTCCCCCATCATGAGTGAACACGCCCCTTTTGCTAATTGGCTACAAGTTGGTTGTGGTGTTCGGTCCGCCTTTCAACAGTTTTTCAAAAATCACTTTATAACACCTTTAAAACATCTGAACAGCTCTTCTTTTCATTAGAAGATTTCCTACCTTTTCATCAACTCTGATGGCATTCTTCAGATGCCACTCTTCCTCTTCCTCCTCCCAGTACATCTCAAATTGCTCCTGGCAAATCTCACATAGCTGAGGAGGAAGAGAGAGGTTTTTAGTTTGGCAGAAGTACCTTCTTTTAAAGGGTCATGAAACCCCAAAACACAACTTTTGAGAGGTTAACAGATATATACACATGTTGTACATCAATGAAAACAGCAGGGTTCATTATGCTTAAGGAAAAGTGGTTATTTTTGTCTCTCTTTTTCATCTCTCAATTTCACTTTTCTGGTTTAAAACGCAAAGTTGAACCAACGTCATGAAAAGTGAGGTATATGCGTTAATTCAGAGTGGTGATTGGAGCTTTTGTACACATTATTCATAAGGACGAAATTAATCCAATCACTGCGCTGTTTTATGCATTAGATTGCATTACAACAGAGAATTCAAATGTCACAAAAGACTTTGTTTGTTGACCTCTGCCTGTTCAGCTTTGCGTTCTGACATGTTGTAAGTGTATGTTGGTGCCCCAACATTTTTTTAAAACTGTCTTTTATTGGATGTTGTCAAATTTAAAGGACAAGATCGGTATTTTACAATTAAAGCCCTGTTTTAAGATCCTCCCTGATGAAATAGAATGGTTAAGATTGTTTTTTAGACAAATGCTCCAGTCACGAGAATTTTTGGATTCTGTGTTAGCACCCCCCCCCACCTTTATAATGAAAGCATAGGTGCACTCGAACAATCATTCATTAAAACGCATAAAACTTTAGTTTACAAAGACGTGAAACTCACCGAGTGGTCTGGGGTGTTCACTGATAAGCTCACACAAAAATCGCTGCAAAATATGCTTTCCAACAAGTTTTATTGTAGTTTTTGTCCAAGTCCATTTTCTTCCTGTTTTTGGTCGAAGTCCGCAGTAGTCGATTATCGAGTTTGCGTGCGCGATCCTTAGTTATCTAGTTACCAATGATCGCGCACGTGAACTCGACAATTTATTACTGTGGACTTCGACCGAAAACAGGAAGAAAATGAAGTCGGACAAAAACTATGATAAAACCTGTTGGAAAGCATATTTTGCAGCGATTTTTGTGTGAGCATATCAGTGAACACCTCAGACCACTCGGTGAGTTTCACGTCTTTGTAAACTAAAGTTTTATGCGTTTTTATGAATGATTGTTCGAGTGCACCTATGCTACCATTGTAAAGGTGGGGGGGGGGTGCTAACACAGAATCCAAAAATTCTCGTAAAAAGAGAGCATCTGTCTAAAAAACATCCTTAACTATTCTATTTCATCAGGGACGATCGTAAAACAGGGCTTTAATTGTAAAATACAGAACTTGTCTTTTAAGGTGTGAACGTCCAGTGATAAAATATAAGGGTTTCCTGACGCTATAAAATATAAAGCACACTTAAGTCTGTGTATTTTGCCTTACCTCATGAACGACATCCTTAGCAGCTTTTACACTCTGGAACTCTCTCTCTTTGGCTGCTTCCTGAGTTTTCTGTACAACCTCTTCATGAACTTTTTCAAAGAACTGACTCTTTGCCCTCTCCTCAAGATCAGCGATTTCCTCAAATTCAATCCAATCCTAATAGACACAGCATTTCTTCATGTCAGATTAAAAAAAATCCTTTGTTCCCTGACCACTTTTTCAAGAGGTCATCAGTTATTTCCATAATACAATTCAGAAAATATTAAATAAAAGGAATGAGAAAAGACCATATCCGGCTTACCGTCTGACTGTAGTACCAACGGCGATGTGTAACTTTCTTACTGATGTCCTTCTCGGAACGATTCTGTCTGTAGTGCCAGTCCAAATGATCCGCATACACATCTGTCTGAGACGCGGTAAAACGCATGCCGCAGGAATAGCATTGGATTCCAGTATACAGTTTGGTGATAATGCTGTCATATCTCCTAAATTAAACAAATTTTTACAAAACAGTTGGTCACAAACCATTTTTCATTGTCACACAATAATAAAGATATTTCAACCAGCTTCACTCATGTCTAGACTCCAAAGAGTATCTATATGCTCATACTGTTTCATGTCATCCAAAACAAAGCCAGTCAAATCTGGGACATTTTCATCTTCCTCTTGTTCCTCCTCCTCCTCCTCTTCTTCTTCAGGCACAGATAAAGTCTGACTTGCTGATGTAGGGTCTAAAATAGATTATATAAAAACATTCTTTAAATAGGTTCATTTGAATGAAGTGTAGAGCAATTGTCCAAAAGTAAGAAGCGAAATAATACAGTATGCATACCAGTGGTTGAGTCGGTCTGTGCAGGTTTTATTAAATCAAAGGATATAAGTTTTGAAAACAGATCGTTCACATCTATTTGCCTGAATGGCTCGGGCTCAGGCTGTGGAAACTGGGAACCTAAATCAACAATGTACAAACTATAAGAGGTCTAAAGTAGACATTACACAATCAAAAAATTAAATAAAATAACAAATGTATGCTAACAAGTTAATAGTAGTGTACGATTCTGTTTCAGGACAAGCGAACAAAATAAAACTAATGAAGACATTCTTACCAGGCTGGAAAGACATTTGGTTTGGTGGCATGAAGGGTTGAGATCCCATCATCTGAAAATACACAAGACAAATCAAATAAACAAAACATTAAATATCCAAACTATCCCTTTAACAGGAAAACTCAAAACTAAGGGACATCTTGAGCAAGGGATACTTACAGGCTGAGGAACACTAACAACACCTGGACCAGGAAATGGAGAAGGTCTAAATGAACCTTGGAAATCTGGTGTAGGGCCTGGGACACTGAAGTTGGATGCTTGTGAAACATTTTGCTGCATGGGAAACTGTTGAGATGGGCCTCCAAACGAGTTCATGGGTGGCATGTTGAAATTGGGTGGTGGTACAGCAGGGTTTATCACAGGAGCTTGACCCTGAGTTTGATCGTACATTGTTGGCTCCTGTGGTCTCAGCTGGTTTGGAATATTTGGACCGCAGAATCTTGGAGGACCTTGAGGGTCATATCTTGGCATAACAGGAGGTGCATCAAATCTTAAGGGTTCAGGCTGCACTGGGTTCTCAAAGCGCATCCCACCTGACGGACTATCAAATCTGACTGGACCCTGCTGTTCATCAAAATTCATTAGTCTAGCCGGGAACCGTGGTTCTTCGAATCCTGGTGGACCATGTGGCATGTGAGGATTATCAAACCTTGGTGGATTAGCAAATCTGTTTTGGTGCATCTGGTGATCGTAATGAATTGGGGCTTGAGGGTCAAATCTCACCATGTTATGGTGCTCTATGTATCTCATTGGCCTGTGTGAAACTGCTGGGTTGTTAAATCTTACAGGTCTTTCATGAGCGTTTGGAAATCTTTCAAACCGGTGAGGGGTATCAAAGCGTTGTCCGGGATACCTTACGGGCCCACCAGACCCATCAAATCCAACTGTATTGCCTTCATACCGAGGAGGAGGAGCATAAGGTATTGGAGGACCATCTAATCTTGGCTCTCTCATCTGGTTAGGTGGCCCATCAAAAGGAGCTTGAGAACTCTTAAATCCATCAAATCGTTGAGAAACATTCGGTCCATCATGGCGTGGCGCATTCACCTGTGACATGGGTCCTTCTGAGGATTGAGTCGGTGTATTCCCAGGAGATTCATCAAGATTTAGTCCACTTCTTCCCTGTTCCAAGAAATGATCATGCCTTGGAAGACCCTCTACACTTATTGGACCATCATCTGGACCTGTACCAGAGTGAACGCTGTTGGGACTTTCAAAACGTGGGCTGATGTCTCCGTCAGGCTGCTGATCCATTTCAACTGGAGAAGATGCCAGTTCAAAATTCAATACTGTGGATTTTCCACAGGTCCCATCCAAGCTGACTGGGCTTGGTGAATTTCTGAAAGTGGATCCTGTACATGGAGGCCTGTCGGTTCTTCTTGGATCTTCATGATCAAAGACTGGCTTTGTGACATCACCAGACATTTTATGCACATCTGAGCTCTCACTGTATCGTTCAGTCACTTCATGATGAGGATGGTAGAGCAATGCATCATGCAAAGGAGAATGCCCCACTTTTCGCACTGTGGAGATGGACAAATGATTATAAGAACATAATTCAAATTATGACTCCAACACAAACTATAACATTAACAACTTAGTGCATGTTTGGAATTGTCATAGTAAAATTGTTTTTTGTATAATTGTCTAAAACTACATGTAATATTTAAAAAAAAGAGTTACAATTCACATAAAAACAGGGCAATTCTTACCTGGGCGGAGGAGCTGTGTTCTTTTCAACTTGGACTTATGCTCAAGATAAGAGAGCGCCGCATCAGATATTGTTCCCAGTCCTTTCTTTTTTGATGGATACACCCCCTCATCACACGATTCATCCCAAGAGTCAGACCGCTGTCTTTCCTCTTGATACTGAAAGAGTTGGTTTATTTGATGGGCTACATTGAGGAATTCATCATTAGATATTTCACCCTCAGCATGCCTTTTGCTTGCCTGAAACAAGAAAATGTCCAGTTTAGCAATATTCTATAATAATAATAATAATAATGTATTAGACCAAGAAACTGTAAAAATGAAACTGTCACACCTTTCTTAAAAGATTGCGTTTACTTGCAGAATTAAGTGCTTCTGGTATCTGTATGTTGCTATCAACACTCAAGCGATGTTGCTTAGGTGTACGAGGTGTGGATGGTCTTTGATTAGTGTTCCAAGTCTTGTGTCTCTGGGTGCCCAGTCGTCCATCTGAAAGCTCTGGATTTGACTGTTTGGGACTGACACAATTTATTAATTTAAATGAGTTTCAACTTTGACTTGAAATTCAATTTCAGCAAGACGGAAAATGTAATGAATAGTTTTTAAACAATAGACAGTGACTTACTGTTTATTTTCTTCCCATCCACTTCTCCACCTCTTCCCATCTTTTGTGTCTTTATGCTCAGCAGGAGAAATTCTCTGCTGTGGTCCATCTTTCTGATCAGCAGGTCTATCTTCAAGCGGCCTTTTTGATCGTCTCGATTCTAGGGGGCTTTTCTTAGTGCTTCGTTCATCTCTTATACTCGACTGTGGAAAAGCATCATCATTATGTGGATGTTTACTTAGTCTAGCCTTTCCAGACTTGGGGGGTGGAGTAATACTCCTGGTTTTTCTCTTTGGAGATGATCGCCTTTCTTTTCTTTTTGGAGAATGTAACGGTGGCGAACGTGATCTTGACCGAGACCTTTTTCTAACATTAGCTTTGTTCACTTTAATATCTTGTTTTATAAATGTCTCAAGCCTTCCTTGCTTGTTTAGGGACCCATTTATAGGCTTGCCCCTGGACTTTAAATGGTCCAAGTTTTTGACACCTTCATCCTTCTCTTTCTTCTCTGAACTTTTTTTCTTCTCTTTATCCTCATCTTTTGAATCTGTCCTTTCATGCATCTGCTTATGTAGCCGTGGGTCCTTCTTATTCACTTCAGCCACCTTTGAATGTTCAGACTCCATTCCTCTGGGTCTGACAAGGACACCTTTTCCAGATGGTGACATGGACTTGGATTTAGGTCTTTCCTCACCGGTAGAGTTATCCTTTTTTGGAATCCTCAACTTACTTGGTCTTTCAGCTGAGACTTGTCCTCTTTTTCCTGATGTATTCAGAAAGCTTGGTGTAACCTGATTATCCTTCTTATGAATAACTTGTTCCTTTGCATTTACAGTTGTGGCACCAGGTCTATTTAATCTAGGATCTCTTGTTGACAGTTTTTCTGATGGTGCTGGAAGCCAAGGTTTGGTCTGTGGTGCAGGAACCGTTTGACTGAAACGGACTGGAGCACTGGCATGGTGGTTTGAAGCAATAGCAGGACTGGCCGCCTTAAGGACAAAAATAGCAATTCTCTTTTAAAAGTGTTTTAGGCACACATCAAGTAGTATGAAGAATGATGTTCATACTATAATACTGATCATAATGTTGGTCATTAGACCAACTACAGCTTCTATGCAGTCCTATTACATAACACCTGTTCTTGACAAATTATATAATTTTAAACAGCAAATACTGACTTGCAGCACACTTTACAGTTCAGCTTGTTATAAAGCAGGCGTCTATTAAACTTACCAACTGAGCTTTAGTTTGTTCAAGTTCAAGCTCTATCTTCTTTTGCTGAAGTTCTAACAACTGCTTTTGCTTTGCAAGCAATTGTTGTCTTATCATTTGCTCTTGTGTCAAGCTTGGAGCTGGAGGTTGTGGTGCAGGAGGCTTTGGAGATGTTTCATCAGTCTATGCAAAGAGAAAAACATACATTTCAGATAAACCATAGCAGTAAATATCTTCCAAACCTTGGAAATTAAAGGATCAGTCAGAACTCCTCTAATGCTTACCGGTTTTAAAAATTTTGGGTTGACATGAATGCTGGCATTCACATTTGGTGGCAATGGTTTTATAGGCCAGGCAGGATCTATAGAGTTCACACGCACATCTAGTGCATATAGCTTCTTCAAGGGGAAAATTTCATCCCATGTGGAACGCAATTTGAAGAGACTTTTTCTAGTGGCCTCATCCACCTAAAGTGAATCAAAAAAAGGGGGGGAAAGAATATCTGACTCCTCCATTTATTCTCACAGAACACTGGCAAAACCATATAGATTAGCATTCAAAAATGTAAAAAAAGAAATTAAAAATGAATGTGATTACTACAAATTAAACAATATATCAAGGTGAATGAATTATTAAACACTACACAGTATTCTAAATGAGGACAAAGCACATGACGTTCAATCAGAAGTAACACCATGGACACAAATTCAAAGAATGATGTACCTTCTCAAACACACAAATAAAGGAATTGACTAGGTTCTTAGCAAACACTTCAAGGTAATCCCCTCCAACATTCTTCACTATGGAATCCACTAAGTACAAAACTGGGAGCTTCTCACCAGGTGTCGCCTAAAGTGATAGAAAACTGACAAGTTTAGAGAACAACATGGGAGAAATGCAAAGCTACATTGAGTTAGTTTGAGGTTACTAAAAGGTATGAGATTAAATTTAAAATACTGGCACAAGACAAAAATCAAGCACTTAGGGTGAAGTCCATGGTTTTGCATTGAAAAACAAAAATCCTCAAAACCAGATCCATCAAAAATCAGGGGAATGTTCTTGGATGCAGGTACAAAAAACATCTATGTCCAGGTAAAAAAAAAGTCTTCAATGTCCACGCTTCATGCTCAGTCCATCAAGCAGGAATTTTTTTGTTAGGTTGTCAGTACAATTTAGTTTGTTACTGGTATCACTTTATAAACTCCAGTTTCAGACACTTTTAGCAAGAAGCCCAAGCCCTTTAAACAAAAAATAAAATCGAAGGGATGAAGCTCATTTCACTTGTTTGTTTTTCTTGATCAAGAATTCAACTCCATGATCCACTTAAAATTCAAGTTTAGGTTTGACCTTTTTTTTTTTTTAAGAACTTTGTCTTAACATTTTACACAAGTCCAGAAAAAGGTTGACGGGTTGTGACCCACATGCCACAGCGCAGAGAGCAGTTTTTGCAAAATTCCTTAATTTCTTTCTTTTAGGAGTTTTTACACATTCGACGTTGAAATGTCTTTGGAAAGGACAACACCAATGCTTTTGTATTAAAGAGCATTTAGATTAGACTGAAACCAATAGCAAACATTACCACAAAAAATACACTGGGAAATAAAGACAAAAGGACATTTCACATAGTTTATTGTCACAATTGTATACCATTTATTAACATTTCAGAAAAGAATGTAAATTTACTCAGCAATCTAACACCCCAAACCCTTTATTGGTTCAAGTACAAAGCAATTTAAATGGCGCACATTTGTATTAAAGACTTTAAATCCAGGCGTACTCATTTTCATGGAGCAACCCAACAAGACTATTCGAACTAGTGCAAGATTTCAAATAGATTGAAAACAAACAAAAATAAATATATTTAAAAAAGACACGAATTTTCTTATAATACCCAGCCATCTATATAGGGAGAAAACCACGTGTAAGTTACCAACTGATGAAAAGACATGACTACAAGCACGGGTAAGCAAATGCTTATATCCGATTAATTGTTAAATGCAAGGACAGAGCGTACTGAATATTATAATTTCTAATCAATACAACTTTACAAGATTACTATTTGTGCAAAGTACACATTGGATACAAATTATAAAACGACGATGACTCATGTCGCTGGGTTGATTGCATAATACGGAAATGTCTAATCATTCAATAACTAGGGTTCTTGTGGATAAATCATACAACCATGAAATTAATTACATTTCACCAGACAACCAGATAGAACCATGGAACGTATGGCAGTTAACGTACTGACAATACATCAAATTGATATTATTATAGAAGCGTGATTGTAGCGAGCTACTGTCATTATCCCATAATCGTATTGTGAAGAGAAACGTGGATTATTAACTTCAAGCCAAATGTGCGTCAACAGTAAGTCCGACTTTATTGACCAGCTGGAACCCAACAAGCAGATAAACATGCTGCTCCACCTGCACTAATTAGAGAATGCCGAACGGTGTTTTTTCTAAGCCAGAAAACAGAGCATTCTGACTGATAATAGATAAAATGATTTTAATCATGATAAATTCGGAACTAGTTAACGATAATATAGCGACAAAAATGTTTTATGTCGATTTAAACAATTAGCGAACTCGCCGTGCTACCGCCATGTTACTGGCCTCATGTCATGTCGTCATTTAACTAACTGGCCACACGAGCTACAAGACGATGACTGAAACAAAACAAAAATAAATCTATTTTCATAAAAACCTTGGCAATTTGTGCTTCAATAATTGCGACGATATCCTTGGCGAACTGGATGTTTTCTTCGGCTAGAATGGTGAGCATGTTGATGTGCGGTTTGCTGTTGAAAGTCAGATCTTCCAGCGAGGACTGATACTCGCGGCAGGCGTCCTCCCTCGCGCCTTCGTCCGACATCTTTGAGCCGTTGAGTCGAAGGCTGTAGCCACACAATTTAAACTATTTTACAAACATTAGTTGCAACACAGTCCTCTTAAACATCTGTATTTCGTCTTGGTTTCCTTTATACGTCGAATGCCGTCCTGTGACTCCTCACGTCTTGCTTTTTTTGTAACGATATTTCTTGTTTCTGTTGAGCGTTGCAAAATGTCCGTCGTACTTCAGCGGAGACACCGCGTCATCTGAAACATTTTATACTTGAACGCGCGTCACTGCTTCCCGATTGGCTGCGCTGAAACGCACGAATTGGATTGGGTAACGAAAACTTTGCTCTTAATGTCATTGGTCAAAGCAGAACTAGAATATTCAAGAAGAGCCTATCAGAATTAAATAATTATATAAATCAATAAAATCACAACAGAGTACAATGTCGTCATCACCTTGAGTTAAAGACACACACTGTAGAATAATTTGCATAGAACAGAGGTTCAACGGGTTTAGAACAATATAGAGAATTATTTTATGAACAAGGTATATGCTGACTTATAGAAATTGTTTACTCTATCTATATTTGGGTTATAATTGTCCATTTTAAATACATCAGCATATTTGAAGAATTGATAAACAAAGCAAAATGAACACAATTTTAATTCCCAAGCATGTTTTTCACCCTTTTTATTATAGGCTGTGTTTGTAAGTCAGAACATTGACTATCAAACACACGCAGAGTCAGTGTTTAATTATGAATACATAATAAGGTCATAAGAATAGATTATTCTGGTGTACAAAATTAAAACATTGTTTTGTTCTGGAATAAAAAAAAAATTAATTTTCAGTATTCAATTTTGTATAAATTATTGGAACACTTATTTACAACATTTCATACTTACAAAATAGTTTATTTGAAATTACATTTACAAAACAGAAGAAATATATCTGAATTAATCTCTCTTTTTTAACCAAACAATTAATTTTCAAACAGATCTCTGGACCATTCATTTACAGATAAATTACAACTTGCATCCTGCGTGTCAGTCTCACCTGAGAAACCCTCAGACCCAACTGTCAGCAGCTGGTCAAAATGTTGTCTTTTATCACTTAACCCCAGATCTGTGACCTTACTTTGAATCTCACATTGAAATGCTCTGGAGCACAGTGAGATTACACGTCTTCGGGTTCGCCCACTCTTCTGTTCACATGAGTGCCGATGATGATAAGAAAGTGGGGTGGATTGCAAACATGGTGAAAACAACAGGGAATCTGAAACTCCAGGCTCTGATGTGTTGACATTTCTCAGTTCATTTACTTTAGAAATCTCTGTCACATCCGAAATGTTCATGTCCATACTGCTTTGACCAGAAGCAAACAAGTCTACTGAGCAATTGTACTTCTCTCCATGGTCATCAAACACAATCAGTTCCTGCTTGACTTTGCAGTTTACAGAATGGACCTCACTTTGTGCACAATGCCTGGAATATTTGCTCTCTTCATGGTTTACTGAACAAAAAGCCACAGATGGTCGGCTTTTGGTTAATTTTTTTCTTTTTAAAGTGCGTTTTTTGTTAGAAAAAGACAGCCCGTTGTTTGTAGGGTGATTAAATGCACACGTAATGTCAGGACTAAAAGGCATCGTTTTTAGCCCTGAAGAATTGGCTGTGCACAGAACAGTGGGAGTCTTAGGGATCTTAGCAATGTTCATCTTAATTTCAAGATTTTCTGGACACTCATTTTCATCGTTCTTCTCCCAGCTTATATTGTTCACATTGCGCATAGGTGAGGTCAATTCATCACCACAAAGAGGCATTTGTGTAGTCTTTGAGATACAGTTTATGACCACTGAATTTTCAGTCAGCGAGCACCTATTTTGCACTTGAATCATTTCATTTCTTTTACCTGAACTACATTCCTTAGTGTCATTTATCTCTGATATCTGAGGCTCTACCCAAACAAAATCGTGTAAGCTTTCTGATAAAGGCGCATCTTCTAAACCAAAACATATATTTTGACCAGAATGACAATCAAGTGACTTCTCATGAATAGATGAATCATAATCGTCCCCAGATTTAGCTCTTACAAGGCAGTGTCCGGATGTAGTTATTTCAGAATTATTTTCACAGGAAAAGTTGCTCAATAGATTCATAGTGTCACATGCAGTAGAACTGTTCAAGTGTGCCGATGAGGATTCAAACATGTCACAGCTTGAGGAAAAAGATTTTTCATGTTTTGTTTCATTCTTCAGTTCATCCTTTATACAATTAACATGCTTCAACTGACTGATGTTGCTTTGACATGTGCATTTACATGTTCTTGTCTCTTCTGTCTTTAGTGAAAAAATATTAAGATCACAGTCTCTGGACAGCTGATTACTTGATTTTTCTGGAGGGAAGCATAAGCCGGGTGATTGCCATGGGCTTGAGATTGTGAATCCGTCACTGCTGGGTTGAGAATCCAGCCTTGCACATGATGGAGGAGTATAATCAAATCCATTGAGTTCATCTTTTTGTGAACTTTGTGAGTCTTTCTGTTGTGATGGACAGATATTGTTTGCAGATTCAGAACAGCGTAAATGTGAGTTTGCTTGCAAGAGGTTTTTAAAATAAGCGATTACAGTAAATCCTGTTAAAGACTCACAAGGAGAAATTATTTGACAGGCCACTAACTGTCCAGACAGTGAAGATGTTTTGGTTTTATTATGAGGAACCTGTTTGGATGGAAGAAGAAATAAGCCAAGTAAATAAACAAAGCAGATAATCTACTGAAGATGCCCCACCCCAAATTAGATTAGGAAATTCTTCATACCTTTAATCCGAATATGACACATCTTCCTATAAAGCAGTCTTCCACAGCTTTGACAAGCAATTGTTGAACAGTATGTGTGCCATCAGTTTTCTCTGAATCAATAAAACTGGGAAAATCACAATGAATCAACAGAAATGCATGTCAAAAATGTTTACAATTTGTAAATGCTTTAAAACATACCGTTGAAGGCAACCAGCAGTAATGCCAAAAAAGGGATTTAAACAGCCACCGAATACTGTCACACCAAATATATCTTGGTTTCTGGACACATTAAATGACAGCCTATATCTGTAGTCCACGTTTTGTAAGTCACATGTGAATCCACACCTTCCACATGTAGCCCTAAAGATATTGATACTGGAGTTAAACACTCATCCATAATGTTCAGAAAACAGTACTCGGACAATAGTAATTATGTTATAGCAACAGTAATTACACATTTATGACACTTTCACCAAATACATTGCAACACACATTTTGAAAAAGGTCAGAAAAATTGGTCATCTGAATCACTGCCACCTACCTTTTGCTCCCCTGAATTAATCTGGACAGACAGCCTTTGCAGCATGGATATATAAAACAAGAGTCTTGCAGAGAAAGTATTGTGCAACTTACGAGAGCCCGTGTATCGCTCATAAGTGCTAAAAACTACTAGCAAAGTTTACAAACATTGATCAAGATAACGCTATTTTCTGATAGGAAACAGCGGACTTGGATAACAGTGGACGCATATCATATGTATATTTACATCTAAAGTTACAATATTAAAGGAAATTAAATAATAAATTATTTAATTTAAAACTAAAAGATCAGAAACAAAAAAGTTAGCAACAACAAGCTTCGCATTTCAAAATAAAAACGATGAGTTTCTTCCTCGTTTGTTTTATCTTTCACTCCTCAGTCCTCAGGAAGCACAGCGCCGTCTACCGTACAATATTATGAATGATATCTGGCGATCTATGTAGTTTTAAAGCAAAGATAATTTTTAAATCTTTTAGTAGGATTACATTTTTAGATTTAAATGAGTGAAACTTTGTGATCAGATTAATGCGATATGTATTTCTGCGCTTTGTTCATAACGTTATGCAGGTGTCAGTGTTGCTTGCTATTTTCATGCATACAAATGAATCGATTCTTTTGAATTACCTCGAATGCGGTTTGCTCGCGATATTGTAATTCTTTGAATGAAGCAAAACGGTATCTCTGTTTGTTCTTGTTTGTTTAAAATTTCAGTAAACGAAAAACAAATCGTGCAAAGTACGGCAAAGTAGAACGAAAGATTCATTTAAAAGATTGATTCGATAAATGATTCGTTCACGAACAAAACACAACAAGAATGTAATGTAAATTTTTTTAACATTCTCTCTTTTTAAGTATAACGGCATGACAACACTGCTCATTGTATGATTTTGAAAGTTGTGTTAAAGCTAAAACGAAATAATATGGTTTAATATCTGTATACAGTCACTGGAGGAAGCATCAACACTAGACGTGTTTCCCCCGGACAACTGTGCGCAAACACCGCGGGCTCTTTGATTTGGTTGTTTTTTGTTTTCTTTTACACTGTTTTGGTTTTTTAGAACTGTCACTAAATATGCATTTACACAAACATATTTTAAATACCTGTAAGGAAAAATGAAATATTACTCTTTTAAATGATTTGCGATGGTGTTATGTAAATAACTTGATTCTGAATTATGTCAGCAGCTCAGCTCAACTGGCTGGAATCACGAGAGAAATGTCAGTAAATTATTTTAATTCAGGAACATGAGTTTGTTTATGCGGAGCAACGAGAGGTAGCAAAACAACACTAACGTTACCATAACAAAAAAAATTGACTTTTTAATTTTTATTCGACCTCAGCATTGTATTAGTTTACAGCCATTTCATTTTTTAATGTGATGACTACATCAACGACAAGTAAGATCTATTTGGGACAGCATCGGATTGTAAAGACTAAAGGGTAAGATATGTCATCTGAAACTGTGTTGTGGTTCTATTAATGGTGTACGTTTCTATGGTTATGTTTACAAACTTGGTTGACATGGTGAAGGGTTCACCTGCTTAATTTGAAGTTTTGAACCCTTCATGTACACAAATAAATAAGTGAGGTATTGTTTAAGTGCCCATTGAAAACATTGGTGTTTAAATAACAGAACTATGTATTATTTAGTTTCTAGATAAAAGCCTTTTTCCTCAGGATGAGAAACAAAAGCTTATCAGATGTGAAATGTACTGTTGTCACTAACTTTTAGTTTTTCATGTAGCATAGTTCTTGCAGATGAGAAACCATCGAATAGACAATCAAGTCACCTGCAGGCATGTTCCTCTGCAACAGACATACATGAGAAGAGAAGATGTAATGAGCCAACTGTATGTTTTTAATTGTTTTACTCAATATATTATTACACCGATGAGCTTTGGTAAGTGAAA